ACAAGGCTTATCCGGTTTAAACCCTTATCCGGTCAAGCTTTGTCCGGATAAACACTTAGACAATATAATCAAAGTTCCATTTCAAAGGATAAGAATACGAAGCATACTAATAAAATCAGTAGTAAATTTTTATGCAAAAGATTTAGAAACCACTCACCTTAAAGGCTTTTTAAAACCAAATGCTTGCAATCCACTTATTTGAAACACAACTTCTTGCAATCCGGATGACTTCTTTAAAAGCACTCTCAAATTCTCAAAGGCAAGGAAAAGTAAATGAGGGGGGGGGCTTAACCCCCTTTTATACCCACCAAATGGGGAAGGCCTGCTAACCGCCTTCCCCTCCCCCTTTGCCACCTCCTACAATTAAACACACACATGCATACACCCACGTATGCACAACTCATACCCACATATTCTTATGCATGCATGCCTACCACATATATATATATATATATTATTATATATATATACACTTCATCAAATATATATATATATATATTTCTACATGCACACATAATATCATATATAAAATCACGTTCTGCACATACTAGCACGTATCAAAATATCATGTTATCACGTATTTATTAAATCAGATAATCATGTATTAAATACCTTGGGTAATAACCGGGATCTGGTTATTACACCAATGCACATTGAAAGATTAATAAAAAATGCCATTAACCATCGTAGGTCATAGGAGAACCATCAAATTGCTGAACAAAGCAAGAACAATCAAATCATCAAAGCTTTTAGTGTAAGAAGCAATTATAAAACCAACAAACTTCAAGCTATTCAATCTAATTCCAAAATCTCTCCACTCAATCAAACAATAAATACCGGTTCTAACTAACATACCAACAAGTTTAAATTGGATTATATTAACACAATCCTAACCTTTTTACGGCCAACAATGAGCGGATCGTTTAAATCCTCAAAACCCAACCCGTCTCTAGATCATTGAACACTTGCAAATGCAGCAATTCAGGATTAAAACTACGATGCAAAACTTAAAACATGGAAAATTAATGAATGCTGCTTACCTCCTCTGCTTGTATGTTTTGGTGAGGAAGATAGACGCTATTGGATTGAAAAATATGCCAAATATATATGCATCTCAATTGATATCATCTCAAAATATGTTAGAACGATGAAATCGAATTGGGTTGGAATCGATTTCATCAAAATCTCTTTTCATCAAAATCTATTTCAGAATCTGTTGGAACCGATGAAATTGAATTGGGTTGGAATCGATTTCATCAAAATCTCTTTTCATGGGTTGGAAAATCGAATTGGTTTTAGGGATATTAGGGATAGGGATGGCGATATTTAGGGATAGGGATGGCGATAAAAGCGAATTGGGTTTAGGGGTTTTGCATTGCGCGRYTTTAGGATAGAGTTTTGGATTTCATGGGTTGGAAAATCGAATTGGTTTTAGGGATAGGAGATATTAGGGATAGCGATAAAATCAAATTGGGTTTAGGGATAGGATAGAGTTTTGTATTGCGCGGCTTTAGGATAGAGTTCTGCATTGCGCGGCTTTAGGATAGCTTTAATAAGTTGTACCATTAGCAATATAGGTTGTCTTTAAGTAATTTGGCATTAATTGGTAGTACTATATGCTTAAAAGGTTGTCTTTAATAGTTTTAACCAAAGGCTTTGTAAGATAATGTAGATTGGATTACAATAACAAAAACAGTCCAATAGGGATCACAAAGGCAATTTTTTGCTTATCTTGTGAAACTTAATCTAGCAAACAGCTATTTCATTTTCTATTAGCCTTATTATGTATTCAATACTCGTATGATAATATTCATGTTTAGGAGGGACTGCAAAAATGTTAAACAGGCCCTGGTCTATTCCTTCTTGGTTTTGCCTTCCTCAGCTTCTCACGTGCATATATTATGCATTGTTATTTTCACATCTGTTTTTCAGTTGCAGCCTTTGAATCCAGATTTGATCTATCAGTGCTTATATTTTCTGGACCTGTGCTTATTTTTTTCAACAGCAAAAAGCCCAAGGGCATCCATTTTTGTGAAGCCCAACATACATATAGAGGTTTAATTTTGATATGGGCCTTACAAAAATTTCTATAACCAGTTTACCACTCCAATCGGCCTGGCTCTTTCCTTCGTCCTCCACTCGATTGCACGAACAGAGTGACGATTGAAATCTTAAATCACCACACACCACTATCGAATCGATTGACGATTCTAGAGGAAGTACCGAGTACGAGCTGTTGTCTGTTGATTGAAATCACCAGCTCACTTCAACACTGTTGGCACTCGGCAGTCGGCTCTCCAGTCTCGCCTCTCTCGACCGCTCAATATCTTATTGATCACTTGTGACTTGTGAGGTTAGGGTTATTTACTTTACTTATTTTATGTTTCTAACTCTTGTTTGATTAATTTATAATCTAGATGAAGCCGCCCTCCATTACTCCATACTTAGGTTTTTGTTTAAGCTTTAAAAGTTTAAAGATGTAATACTGTATGTATCATGTATGCCTAATTGCCTATTGCCTACTTAGGTTTTCTGTAAACAACATTACAATGGGACTTGGGACTGTTTCTGGGGCTGTTTCGTTTTGCAATTTCTAAATAAAATCCATGAAATGAGTCTGGTTACTCACTTCTGTTTGCAGACATTGCTGTGTGTCAAACAGTCGAAGCTTCTGCTGCCATTTGTTAATTGTTGGGTCATGGGTGAATGGGTGGTTGGCCTAAAGATGTCTATAAGAGTATAAGACTAATAGAACATGAACCTCTTCTTCCTTCCATAAAAAAACAACCATTCTTGTTAGGTTGGTGGCCCAAATTCCTGATTTCCTGTTCACTATTTGTATCCTCTAAAGACTTCAAAATGTGAATAGAATTTCCATTCTTTTCCATTTGCTCAAGCCTTAAAATTTTTACTTTTTAGGGCTGTTTAGAAGCTTTTTAGGAGCTGTTTTGAAGCGGGTTAGTATGGGTTAGTATAGGACAAAGACTTAAGATTGATGCTTATGTTTTCTTCTCCTTTATCAATTTGTCCAGGTTGCATAATCGTTCCACTTTCTTGGCAATTTCACAACACGAACCATGAATGGTGATGCATTTTATATTTTGTTACACGGGGTTTTGGTTTATGCCCCCCTGTTGCATTATATTTGTTATATTTAAAATAAATCGGCGTAGGGATGAGCCGCCTAGATTGACTAGGGTCCAAACCCCTTCAAATAGTTTATTTTGGTTTTTATTTACACATATAAGGGGCATTTTTTTGACTTTCCGCCATGGGCATCCAAAATCTCAGGACCGGCCCTGCTTCAATTTAGAATAGAATCGGTCCTGATCAGAATACTATTTTTTCTTATTCTGTTTTAGCCCAGATCTGGATGGTGCTTGGTTCCAAATCAGAGTTCTGGATGGCTGGTATTTAAATCTGGATGGTAATTAATGGTTTTAGGAGCTTCAAGTATGAAATTTCTTTGGCTTTGTGGGATCTGGAATATATGAAAGTTGCTATAGACTATGCTGTTAATATCGCGATATATCGTCGATATATCGGCGATATATCGGATATCGCTCCTAGGAAAAAAATCGGACCATAAATATCGGTCAAAATATCGGGGCCGATATTATCGGCGATATTTAGCGATTTTTTAGCGATTTTTAGCGATATTTGAGGTAAAAATCGGACCGATATACCGATATATTCACTGGCTCT